TACTTTTGGGCGCGTATTCTTTTGTTCTTTCAATATAATAATTTATAATTAGCGTGTTGTTTTATTTTGAGAATTAAATTGTGATCACCACAGGAGAACATTAAAAAGGCGTATTTTGAGTATTTTTCTCTTGTTCTTTTACCTAGTTGTTTTAATCCAATTAAATCTCGAAGCATTCATCATTACCTTGTGAAGTTGCATTAGATTTGGCATTTCAGCACTTAGACATATTGTGATAAGATCTCTTGAAAATAAATTTGGGATACAAGATTTGAGTGCGCTTGGAGGCTTACTATAAGAACAAATTAATGAAATATTGTCATTCCAGATCTGAATTGCGTTAATGTCGATTTTAATATGAATGATTACATTCCAGACTCAGAGGGCGAAGAGGAGTTTCTTCTACTGCCGTCCTTTGTTTCTAAGGAGAAACTACGGCGAGTATTATCAAATCTTAATGTCAACGAAAGAAATGAAGCAACGAAACTCTTAATGAAATCAAAATTTTCTGAAGCTTTAGTAGGTTCAGAATCGAATACAGCACAACTTGATACAATTCAAGATGGTGTGACGATTGCAGTTCAGAATGATATAGATGAGGATATGTTGATAGAAAATAACTCAAGAAGAGGATTGAGAAAAAGAAAGTTTTCAAGTACACATCCTTATTTAGCTGATCAGGCAGAATGGCTAGGGTTGATGAGTATCGGCCGTTTGAATGAGGTTTATCAAGAAAATCAAAACATGGATGATATTCTTAAATTCTTGAACAGACTATACTTGAATAAGAAAGCGCTGTATCCAAGTGAAGAGAAATATAAGGCTAAAAATTTTTATAGTTATCTAGGTAGAGGTGCAGCGGGGGAATTGGAAATGGGACATGGACACGATGGAACAGCAAATATTGACTCTACATTATCGAGCCAACATAGTATAAATCTGGAAAAATTCCAAGGAAATGTCAATGACTTTTACAGCGATCTGGAAGATAGTTTATTTGAGCCACCAGTTAGAACCCATAGAATTAACGTCGTAGAAGAAGACGAGGAATATGATATAGGGTGTGATGCCAATAGAGATCTGTTTGGGCAGTCAGGAATTCATCCATCAAGTGACTCAGACTCCCTGGAAGAGATAACTGTACGCGTTGGAGGCAGGTTGAGAAAGGAAAAGAATATCTTGAGAGGTGTACTTCCGGAATCTGCCAAAAGACTTGAGCTTTACAAGAATGCCAGTAGAAAAAGAAATCAGGAAAGAAAAAGAGAGATAGAGCATAGAAAGGGTCTTGCAATACGGAAGAAAGCATTGCCTAGTAAAAAGATATCGTCGAGAGATTTAGAGGACACATTTTTGGATGAAAACACTTATTATCAAAACGAGGAAATGCATCCAATTATTTATTCACAGCTTTCTGATTCTAATTCTTCTCGAAGCAAAACGGCTAGAGAGAGTGAGAGTGAAATAGATTCGAAAAGTGAGATCTCTAGTGAAAGTGGAAATGACAGCGAATGCAGCGTGGTTTCTTTAAGTCAAAGCATGCCTTCTTTGAAAGACTCTTACTTTGAGAGTCGAGATTACAGATACAATACTTTAAACTTTGATACAGTCTTAGGCGATCAGCCCAATAATAAAATTTATTCTGCAATTGAAAGTGATGACTACGATTCTGTCACAGAATGGGATGTTGTTAACCCAATGTATGCCTATGAGACGAAAAGACAAAATAGAAAGAGCCACTCTACAACGAGGAAATCATCCACAGTCAAAATAAATAGAAGAAGAAAACAAAATCGAAATCATATAACTAATTCTAAGAGAAAGGGTGAGGGCAGAAATCCGTTCAATAGGTCATTTTACCAAAAAAGAGGTGTATATGATAGAATGGATTCGCTCAAATTTGGGCTCTTAAAAAAGAAAAGTTTAAGAATTGATAAGAGTAAACTGGATACACCTAGCAAGTCTCTGGAGAGAGGTATGATGGATCCCATAAAAACATTGACAAACCCAAAGGAACTCTTAAGTGGAGAGTATCAGTTTCTGAGAGATCCAAATGTATCTACGATTGCTCTTGAAGCGGAGAGTAAATCAAAATATGTAAAGGATAAAAAAAGTTTTTCATCAACTACGAGATCACATCTTCAAATGACATCAACCTCTTTGGAACTAAACTCAGTTCATCAAGGTTTAATGAATGACCGCTTGAGGCAAATTGTTAGATTAAAGCAAGGAGAAAATGTTTATTCTAAATTAGATTGCGTGGCATTTTTAATGCAAGGTACACGTTATTCCTTTACTCTAGTCGATAAACGTGGTTCTAAGAACCAAAGTGATCGGTTACTTTCTCATATTTTGCAACTAGTTCGGAACAGTAATGAATTAAGTAATTCAACTTTATTTCAAGAAGTCAGTTCAGGAGTTTGTAATCTAATTGATTGGTATCTTGTTTTGCAAGAAGCGCCAGGATTACGATCTTGGAAAGTTTCACGCTCCATCCTTAACGAGTTGTTGCATTTCAAGGATCTACAAGGTGCTGAAAGTAAGTTAAAGATGTTTCCTTTATTTTTCATGTTGTACTATCTTTTATGTGTTCTCAGTATGAGAGATGATGCACCATTCGTCAGCCGCGATAAGTCTAAAAGCCATCTTGAAGACTTTGCTATAAGATTTTGGTCCTCATTCTTTGACAGTTTTAGACCAGAATATTTTCATGAGCTCACCACCGAGTATGAGAAGAATGATAAAATCTACACATACAGCTTGTTATATATAATGTTCGCAATTTTTCAAGAGGATACTTATGACTGGTGGCAGCAGATCAATGAAGCTCAAATGAAGTCGCTGGCTTCGAATCATCAAAAATTGGAAGCAGTGTATTTCTTAGCTACCTTTGTCCCCAAAAGTCATTCAAATTGGCTTTGCTTTTATGAAATATATGATAGATGCAAATTGGAGAATAATTCCATTGTTCACAACCACTTTTTGGATATTGTTTACTCTTTAACACAGCTGCATAGATGGAATCTTGAAGAAAGGTTGATAATCTTGATTTACTCTTCCATAACTTCCCGAAAATTTTCAAACTTTGATGATGAATGGATTGTGCCTGATTTTATAGGAAGAGTGAAAACCAGAGACGATATTCCAGAGACATCTTTCTTCGAAAGATTTATGCACCTTCTATATTCATTTGTTTCAAGTATACCTCATGGTACAAACCAGAAGAAGTTGATCACTAAACTTTTTATTTCAAGCCACTACAATTACCAAAAAGATAAAAGGCATTTCATTATGTTTATTAACAGATTAAATTTCGTTATACTTTTACTGCAATTGTCAGCAGTCGACTTGAAGAATCAGCTCAACGACTTAATTAAACAGGTTGCCTTTTCGAACGATATTGGAATATTGGATCTATCAGTCGATGGTATAGCAGAATATACTAAAATTGTTGCGATGAAGGGCTTCTCTACACCATTTGAGTCATATTTGACTTTAATTAATGCTATAATTCCTCCTTTCAATGAAGTACCCGGTATATTGAAGATCTGGACAAAGCTCATGCGTGTCTTGGAAACTTCATTTTTGAAGGAGAAATCCGGGAAAGGTAAAATTGACATGATTATTTTACTAAGTGACTTGAATCTAAAGTCTCTCCCCGAAAGAGCTTCTCAAGATCTCTGTGCTTTGCTACTAAATACCTTAAATGAGTTATCAAGAAAAGAGACAACCCACAAGTCACTTGATTACTCACTTGATAAAATTAACGATCAGATTTTAAAGCTATTGCATAGCTATATGGGTAGATTACCTCTTCAGGACAAATTAAAGGAACAGCGTATCGAGCGCTCAGTGGAGATTTTAATTCAAATATGGATACGATGCACGTATACATCAACTGATCAAAACTGGAACGTCTTAGTATTCCAAAAGTATCCATATCTAGGAAATAGTCATCTGAGAGAACGCTTTGCGGCCCTATTTTTCAGCGAATTATTAAAATTCACGAAATTAGAACAGTGTATGGATAATGTTATTAGCTGTTTGATGCTAAATTTAGCATCATATTCGACGTCAAAATACCTACCGCAGCTACTTACCCAATTAACACTTTTACGATCGGAACTTTTAACTTCACTGAAGCTATCTATATATAATAGTGGAAAGTTTTTTCAAGCTGATAATTTTAAATTGCAACTCGTCAAGGACATCTTCAGTAATTTATCAGAGAGTCGCAAAATCCCCCCATCAGTGAAAAAAGCATTTATCGAAGAGTTCATGAAAAAGCTTAATGTGGACTACGATCATCACTACTCAAGTACGTGGTTTTCCTCATTTTGCCGAACCCTGATTGAGTATATACACAAAAGATTGAGCGAAATGGTGCTGTCGAGCAATCATTACAAAAGGTTGTGCAGCAAATTAGGAATTCTGGTAGAAGAGCACGATAGTATTGATTTAAATACTTTGCCCATGAAGGAAAGGTTGAGACACATGCATTTAGAAGTTATTTCAGCTATACTCTTGAAAAAAGACAGTAAATTAGTGCTAAACAAGTTCATGTCAAATCAGAACAGTATTGTCACTTACCATCTTATTAGCATTTATTGCAAGGCTATCAATTTAAATGAGCCAAACAAATGGATTCTTATATCTTATTTGTTAGATTGTGTATGGTCTTCATTTAAGGGATACGAACTTTCAATATCAGAACCAAATTTCAAGGAATTTTTTTTTCTTTTAATTGACATACCAGCTTTGAAGAATGATTCACAGAGTTTTGAATTTTATAGATTTAAAGCAATGGATTCTGTGTTCAGATTATGTGAACGAATATATTTGCGCTATGATGGATATAAGGATCAAGTTATTATAAGTGAGATGATTCACGATGCCCTTAAGTGTCATTTCATAAGAAATAACAACAGAGCATGTACTTTTTCGCCCTATCAAATAGTCGATATCCAAGAATCGGGAATAGAATTCCCTAGACACGCCTCTCCAGAGCAACTTGAAGAAGATACTTTACAGGTAAAATCTTTGGCAGAACAGAGTTATGATAGACTCAACATTTTATCAAATAAACAAAGCTTACTAATTATGGAGTCTCTTTATTTTGACTTCTAATTTAATCATTAGCATAAAATAGTCATACCACTGCATAATATAAATACATAGTATAAAAACTACTGTAACCCTCTTTGACTTTTGATTAGTTGTATTTCCGATTCCAATCTATCTTTTCCTCTTTTAATATCTAGCAAAGTCACAACCGACCGCAATAGCTCATCATATTTAGACATAGTCTTCCTTGTTGGCATTACAGGTCTCCAAGTATTACCACCAGCCTTCGGGATATCAAGTTCTTGTAATACATTATTTAGTGACTTAAGCACAGACAGACGCTGTTGGAGCGCTGGCAATTTTTGTGTAGATCTCAAAACAACTCCAGGAGTCATTTTTTCATTGACATGGTAATGTAAACCGTAAGCTTCTTCCTCTTTGACCGTAAGTCTCTTCATTAACATCTGCTGTATTGCATTTGGTTCCAGTTTTACAGATGGAACCTGGCCGTTCTTCAAAACACTCGCAAGATGCTGTTGAAGAGGCGTATGAAAATTGCGTTCCTTTTTGAAGGAAGAAGATGCTGCTATGGGTATCGGAGGGGGAACAGGATCATTAACTGTGGATTTATGAAGTTGCTGGAGTTGCCTCTTTTTCTGATGTTTATCTATTATCATCAAGTTATTATACAAGTTTGTCAATCCTTGTGACGACTGATATTGTTGGATTGATTGTGACGACTGAGGAGAATCAAGCAAGGTCAATAAGTGAGAGCGCTCCATCAACATTTTCTTTGCAGCAAGCTCAAAGCGTCGAGCTTCAATTACTAAAGATTCTTCTTCAGCAATCTCAGCTGGGGTGCGCTTCAAAAGACGTTCTAAATATTGCTTCCTCTCTTTGTCCTTAGAGACTGAATAACTCTTGAGAGATTCCACTAAGGAGGCATTGTAGTTAGGCTGAGATTCCAATATCCTAGCACAGAGCCTGTAGTAATGTCCTTTCAAGTCTTCCAGAGTTCGAGCAATTGATGAAACGAATCTGTCATACACAATAGGCCATTTAAGATCAAAGGCCAGGCACAACTCAAACAATTGTTTTGTATCATTGTAGGACCACGTCGTTGACTTTCCATTTTCCGAATCATGATTATCACCAAGTAAATCTTTTGCCCCTCTCTCGGTATCCAATTCTTTTACGCTATCCGCTTCGTTCTTGGATTCTTCCTTATCCTGGCTAACTTGGTCAGACGGCGAAGAATCTTTCCCTGACAGCTCGTTTGTTTTCAAATCATTCAGAGACTTCGAGGATTCTTGATCTCCAGCGGTTTTCTGTTCCTCAGAGTCCTTAATCTCGTCATTCTTTTCATTTATTTCTTTGTCTTTTCGTTCCTGCTCTGCCTTCCTGTCTTCCTCTTCAAAATCCTCCATAAACTTATTGTACGTCGCCTCATCTACAAGCTTTGGCAAATCCAAATTTATATTATATTTTTCGAAAGCGTAAGGTTTTCCTTGTAATTCTTGCTCTAGTAATTGTTTAGAACCTCTCACCCAATGTTTGAATTTGACTTGAGGTCTATCAGAATTCTCAGAAATAGGCGAAAATTCAATTCGACTCCAAGGTGTTGTCCGAACCTTGAACCTATCTTTCGCTGAGTTTTGAGATGGATTCGAAAGATGAATAGGCGGCGTGTTGGGTCCTATCAAATTATATAGCTCCCTAGCCATACCGGACTGCCTGGCACTCGGCTGTTCACTAACTTTCTTTTTCTTTTTTACTGGTTGTCTTTCTTCATCTCTTTGAACATTCAAGACGTCCAATATATCGTTAGCGGACATTTTGCTCCGTACGTAATCAAACCTTATTCAACAAGTAAAGTTTTGATATAGAAAGGCTCGTACAAAATAAATCCATCATATAATTTACAATTCCTATATACAGTACAGAACTTAGTACTCCTAAGAACGCTTTAAATTCAAATTACCTACTTAAGCAACATAATGGTATATACTTTTGTCATCGTCATCTCTCTTCAAATACTCTTTGTCTATAAGATCCTCAATTCTCTGTTTGATTAGAGAAATCAGAGGTTGAAATCTATTGCTTAATTGTTTAACTAATTCTGAAATCAAATCATTATGTGAAATGTCATGGCGAGATTTCATGATACGCACAATTGCCGCATTCACTACAAATTTTCGACCCTCAGTTATGTCAGATTGAACCTCCTCCTGGTTTTCATCCTCATGTGTTTTCTTGGAGTCTGCTCCTTTGGAAGTAGATGATGCAGACACGGTCAAAACTTTGACTTTAGGTGATGTGGACTTGAAATCAGCATTTAATTTGAAAATGTCCCCATCGTTGACTTCCTTCGTCATAGGGTATTTGATCAATAGCCTCAGACGAGGGGCTACGGCTATGGATTGTAGCTGTCTTCTCAAATCAGCATCAGGTATGTGTGTTAGCTCTTTGATTTCCAAGAAAGAAAATTCTTTAAGTTCTTCGAATGCAGTCACTTGAGATCCGTCTGACTTAATTGATTGAGGCGCAAATAGCAACATGATAACCCCAGCATAAGTAGACATGTTTATTTCATAAGTTCTCGAGGGATACGTAATTCTAAGATCCATAGACCCAAACCTCGGGAACCAGTATAATGATTTATTGTCATTCTTTTTACCCGAAAACCAAAATTCTTCAAATTCCTTTATAGTTGGACGTAATTGGCGGGGCCATAAAAAACCATCGCTACCTAAATCATTTGAAAAGCCTTTGTAGTCCTTTGTCATAGATTTTGGCCAGTCAGAAACGTTGCAAATCTTTAACTCTAAGTCAACGAGATAGTCTTTCTTAGATTTTATGCTATGTTTCCTCCATTCCCTAGTTAAGTCATTGGACAGCTTGATATCTTTATTCATCTTGATTACTTTTTCCAAGGCGGATGTGCCCAATTCGTCACATAATCTCGAGATTACAAGCTCTTCCAAGTCGTCACTTAGTTTACTGCCTTCTAATTTCGAATTTCCTGCTTTTGCATTCAAAAATCTTTTCGCAAAATGATTTGCATAATGAGCTTCGAAGGCATCTTTATCCCGAATAAACCTCAAGAATGATATTGACTTATTCAAAAACTCATCCCTTGAGCTAAGATCAATGTTAACTTCGTTAGATGATTTCTGAAATTGCTTAATATAATGGTCCATATAAATTGATAACAACTCTGGAGCACCAGGGTTGCTATTGGGCCTTTTAGTACCGGGGTTACCTGTTATAAAGTCCCTCATGGCTGTAGAAACACATTCTTCAAGCACGAATTCCCGATTAAATGACTCTTTTAAAATTAAGGAAAATTGGTTCTGATATTCCAATACGCTTTCAATCCATTTTATTGCAAAAGCTGTTAAACTCGCAGAAGCTTTTTTAGCAGTATTAGCACTTGATGATGCCAATGACTCTTTCACAAGAATTGGCATTCGCGTCCCCTGATTTATAATCTGCTCACGGAGCCTCATCCTTAGCAACTTGTAATCCGGATCAACCCTTCCAATCAACTCGTAGAGAGTTCTAAGCTCATTATAATGGTGCTCAATGGGTTTCATTTCAAATATATTTGACAAAACTGGTTCCAATAAATATGATAAGCCTTTCTGCTCAAGAGGAAAACAAATGACTTGGTCTATTTTATCTATTATCATAATGTTGTTCATAAGTTCAATAAGCTTGGGATAGGTCGAAGAAGGTAAATAAAAGTTAACTCTTTTCTCTTCATCCTTAATAAACTGATAAGTGTCCATCAAGTACCTGGCACCAAGACCATAATTAAGATATTCCTGAGATAATTTATAAAAGAATGTTTCAGAGCTTGATAGAAATGCCAGTTCAAAATACCTCTGATAATAATTTTCGCCATACTGTATATCAGTTGGGCCAGATTCTGTCAACATTTCAAACATGTTGATAATTTTTGTAATGTAAATTTTTGTGGTTATAAATTCACCTTTTCTATTCCGCGATATCTCATCGATCACCATCTCTATTAATTTACTACCCACTTCATTGTCGTTATATTTCAAAATGTTATCTTTAAATAATTGGATTCCAAGGTCATAAATAAGTAACTTCTTATGCTCCCTTACGTATACACGATTAAGATACATAAGAACATCGCTTATAAACTTCATAGATTGCATATGTTCTTCCCATTCGACTATTGTCTGTTTCATAAATTCTTCGCTATCGTTACTAAACTTTAACAATTCTGTTCTTCTTTGTAACAAATGTTGCGTTATTGAAGACGCTACGTTGTCATAAAGTCTTGCACCAAACTTTCGTAATACTAGTATGTACGCCTTTCTGTACAATTGTTCATATGAAAGGTTTGATACATTTTTACTCTGGATCTGGTTGATGGCATTTGATAATACCAGCCATGCTTTTTCATAATCCAAGGCAGCATCTGAGCCTGCCCCGCCAACAGACGATGCTATAAGTGACTTCCTTGGCGGGCGAATCTTAGATCGCCTACCTCCAGCCGGAAGCATTATTTTTTTTCTTCTTAAAGTGTCCTATAATGGTTTTCGATGTTACTCTAGTCTTTAATCTCAAGTAAGTTTGATTTTGTCTAATATGTAAATGAGATTAGCAGTTTACAGGTTATGTATATCACGTGCTATTATATTTCTCCATATTGCCGCTCACAACTGTGACAAATTCGCTTCGGTCTATTGGCGATGAAAAATTTCAAAGCAAAGGGCCGTTAGCGGCGCGAAAACGGCGCCGGTCTAAATTTATATTACCAATATATAAGTCAAGTGGCAGTCGTGATGAATAAAAGGAAAAGCTCACTAATACAAAGACGATCAAAGGCTGCAAAATGAGCGGTACACCGAAGACTTTATATGACAAGGTGTTTGAGGACCACGTAGTCCACAATGATGAGTCAGGATCATGCTTGTTATATATTGACAGGCATTTGGTACATGAAGTGACTTCGCCGCAAGCATTCGAAGGTTTAAAAAATGCTGACAGAAAGGTGCGGAGAACAGACTGTACTTTAGCTACAGTAGATCACAACATTCCTACCGTATCTAGAGCCAACTTTAAAGATATTGATTCGTTCATCGAACAAGAAGATTCGAAATCTCAGGTGAAGACATTAGAACAAAATGTAAAAGATTTTGGAATAACATATTTTGGTATGACTGATAGCCGACAAGGTATTGTGCATATTGTTGGACCTGAACAAGGATTTACCTTACCTGGAAGTACTGTTGTTTGTGGTGACTCTCATACCTCCACACATGGAGCTTTTGGAGCGTTAGCTTTTGGTATTGGAACTTCGGAGGTTGAACATGTCTTAGCTACTCAAACTGTTATACAAGCCAAATCAAAAAATATGAGGGTGCTTATAGATGGCGATTTAGCTCCCGGTATTACATCTAAGGATCTTATTTTACACACCATCGGTGTTATAGGGACTGCTGGTGGTACTGGTTGCGTTATTGAATTTGCTGGTAAAGCCATAGAGAACTTATCTATGGAAGCTAGGATGTCTATTTGCAATATGTCAATTGAGGCTGGAGCTCGTGCAGGTATGATCAAGCCGGATGAGACGACTTTCAAATATTTGAAAGGAAGACCTTTGGCTCCAAAGGGTTCGCAGTGGGATAAAGCTATTGCATATTGGAAGACCTTACACTCAGATGAAGGTGCTCATTTTGATATCGATGTCAAAATTGATGCGGCTGACATTGCACCAACTATAACTTGGGGAAATTCTCCACAAGATGCATTGCCAATCACTGCTTCAGTTCCAGATCCTGCAAAGGTCTCAGATCCTGAGAGAAAATCTGGAATTGAAAGAGCCTTGAAATATCAAGGATTGTCGCCAAACACACCCCTTGAGGATATAAAAATTGATAAAGCATTTATTGGATCTTGTACGAATTCTCGTATTGAGGATTTAAGGGCTGCTGCGAAGGTCGCCAAGGGTCATAAGAAGGCTGATAATGTTAAACTTGTCTTAGTCGTTCCAGGTTCAGGTTTAATTAAGCAGCAGGCTGAGAAAGAGGGTTTAGACAAAATATTTGAAAGTGCAGGTTTCTCTTGGAGAGAAGCTGGTTGTTCAATGTGTTTAGGTATGAATCCAGATATTTTGGATCCAGAAGAAAGGTGTGCCTCGACTTCAAATAGGAATTTTGAGGGTCGTCAAGGGGCTCTCTCGAGGACTCATTTAATGTCCCCTGCTATGGCTGCCGCTGCTGCCATTAAGGGACATTTCACTGATATTCGTGAATATGATTATGACAATTCTGATGAACCTGCTGTTACCATTGGATCTGAGCTCGAGGACAAAGCTCTTCAGGATGCTGTTTATGAACACGAAAAAGAGCCAGTCGAAGAAACCGCAGCAGAAGAGTTAGACAGATTATATGATATTCCTAATGATGAGCCCGAAGCCAAAAAGACAAAGATTGACACGGCCGATTCTTCCGCTTTAGATGCTTTGACGGTTGTTACTTCTATTGCTGCACCATTGGATAAAGCTAATGTTGATACTGATGCAATTATTCCAAAACAATTTTTGAAGACGATTAAACGTACGGGTTTAAAGAAGGGACTTTTTTATGAATGGAGGTTTAAGAAAGATGCAAAGACCCATAAAGATGTTGAAACAGATTTCGTTTTGAACGTTGAACCATACAATAAGTCACAAATCTTGGTCGTCAGTGGTAATAACTTTGGATGTGGCTCTTCTAGAGAACATGCTCCTTGGGCTTTGAAGGATTTTGGGATTAAATGTATGATTGCTCCATCATTCGGTGATATTTTCTATAATAATTCTTTCAAAAACTTTTTGCTCCCCATAAGACTTCCTCAAGAGATTATAAAAGAGAAACTTTATCCTCTTGCTGTAAGCGCCATTCCAATGACTGTCGACTTACCCAATCAGCAGATCAAGAATGCTCAAACCGGTGAAGTCATTATCGACCATTTTGAAATTGAAGAATTCAGAAAACACTGTTTAGTAAATGGTTTTGATGATATTGGTTTGACATTGCAAAAGGAAGAATATATCAAAAAGTATGAAGCTATCAGAAGGGATAAGTTTTCATTTATGGAAGGTGGGTCAAAATTAATAAAGCCTATTAAAGGATCAAAGAAATCAGTCTTCGGAGTCAAAGCTCAGGAATGGTAAGAGAATGGAAAATTTGTAGCTTGTATTGTTATTTCATGTTTAATTTCCTCAAAGCATATCACCTTTAATTTTGCTATAATTTGAATATATTATTCAAGAAGTCAACCTAGCTATTTACTAGCTGTAGAAGCTTGCGTATGTAGAAAGAAACTACATAAGAGTGATAAACGTAGCCAGTGCGTTTGGTACAATTGAAATGAAAGTTATTATACATTAACGAAGAAATTCAGTCCGAACTTAATCAGCCTTATCAGACAAGACCTGTTTGACTGGTTCCGAATCATAATACAATTTATGCTGCTGTATATACCTTATAACAGAATTTGGTAACAAATACTGAACAGACATCCCTCTTCGGATAAATAACCTTATCTTAGTTGACGATATATCATTATATATCAATTGCTTTATAACTAGGACGTTTCTTCTGTGTTCGTACATAATATCGTGGCTTAATAAAAAGCTTCTAACATCTGCCCCCGTTCTTTCAACGATCAAGCAACCATACCGACCCAAAATGTGATGTAAATCTTGATCGGCCCAAACATCTGGTTCACCCATTGACTCAATCAAATCGCCACCCGCAAGAAGCATGATCTTTACTCCTCTCATTTCACCAGTATTTGTCCTCACACCACCTCTTTTAATATTTATTTCTTCGTTAAAATGGTCTAAAACCAAAGCCGTTCTCGTATACCTAGGCTGAAGGGATTCCCACGCATCTACCATTAACCAAGAGGAAGTCCTTTCACAAGCCAATTCACACATTCTAACTCTATGATGAGCAGGAGCCAATCCGGGCTTATTATAATTCGAAGAAACTGGCGAATAGTAGCCGGCAATAACCTCGAACCTAGTTTGTTCCGTAATTGCATCAAGAGCCATTTCAAACATACGCAAATGCAAATATGTTATAGGAGAAAACGAACCACAAGCGACGATGACTAGTGGATACTTGGTATTATCCTGTAAGTTGGTCGCCAATCGGTGTGAAGGAAACTCATAATCAAGCAAAGATGTAGCTTGTCTTTGGATCCCTTTCGGTAATTCTTCTAGATCTGCGATTTGGGAAGACATTACCTGAATTTTTGGTCGTAAGACTGTGGGGCGTCCGTTTCCATCTTCATCTTCATCGGAAGACGAATCCACTAATTCAGTATGTCTTCTTGGGATCTTAGATTGAAAGTCTTCAAATGTCCCTTTTGGTTGTCTCTTTGTATTTCTAGAAGGATGGGGAGGCGGTGCATCTACTGCGTTTCCTAGATCAGCCAAAACATAAGGCTGAATAGGTAAATTTTCGGGAATCATCGACGAAGGCGCCGGTGGCTGAATGTCTCTATTCAACGATGGCGGCGTGAAATTAGGATCATTCGTAGGATCCATTGTCTCTATGCAATTAAAATTCTAATATGTACTTGACGTTAGTGTATTTAAAAAAACCTAGTAATTTTTATCTGGTCGAATTGAACGTTAGTCAGCCTATGTTACCGACAACGGTTACTTGTTATCGCGTGAGTGAGATAAACAAGCAAGAAAACTAAAAAAGGATCCAATGCTTTCTTTAAATAGTTTCTCGATTACTATTTCTATATTTCTCGAAGCCAATTATCAAGAGCTAACCAGCCGTAGCCTTGTTTACTACCGATTTTTAATCAAGGAGGGCCACGAACCGATATCGGCAAGGATCGATAGGAGAGCAAAAAATTCAAAAAATAAAAAGAAAAAAAAAAGTTGAAATACTCGTCACAGACAGGATTCGAACCTGCGCAGGCAGAACCCAACGCCTAACAACTAGATGATAGCAGGGCGTCGCCTTAACCACTCGGCCACTGTAACTAGGAATTAATTTTGTAAGGGATCAGTCTTATAAGTACACACAATGTGAAGGAGTGTTGCAAAACACATCTGAAACAGTGTAAAAAGTATATAAGCGCGAGATACTCCCAATAGTAGAAGATTACATTCTACTAGGGATTCTAAGTAGTAGCACACTATACACAAGCTTAGAGTAGTCAAGTATTCATAAGAAATCACCTAAGTACGATAGTAGCCCTTTAAAACAACTATTTAGAACTCCCTATAAACCTCACAATTGGTAGCGTTGCTTAAGATCAGGAATCAGAAAACAAATCTAAGATGAGCGATAGAAGCGTGCTGGAACTCGTGTTCGCCATGAAACAGCAATTAGAAATACAGACCAAACAACTAGCCTTTCAGGAGAAAGAGAGAGAAAAAATGAAGGATTATCAAGAAGAGAATAGACGTAAAACGTTCATTCTTCTGATTAGAGTTACGCCATACGAAGGGGAATCTGATCCTAGAGCCATTGACACATTTTTCAAGAAAATATTAAATGAAACTGAAGGAGAAGACCTTAACGACGATAACTTCATCCTCATTGTAAGTAAAAACTTAGAAGGTAGAGCAAAAGATTGGTATGACGAACAAAAGAGAACGTCGCCATTTTTGTCATTTGAGGAACTCAGAGAAAGATTGACTAATCAATTCTCAAGAAGAATCGATATCCAAACAGTATTTAATGAGCTCATGAACTTAAACCATTACGGAAATATTGAAAAGTTCAACGATCAATTTCTAAAAAAGCTCAAAGAACTACCCGACAATACTTTTTCATCAAATACATTAGTATACTTATATGTATCTAAATTGAAATTAGATTTACAAAGAGAAGTAAGATTAAAAGGTCCTAAAACCTTGGATGAAGCAATAAGAATAGCCTCAATCTATAGCGAAGAGAAAGAAGGTATAATAAGGAACAGGCACCAACCACGTTACTTAAGAACTGGTTATATTCCAAAAAAGGAATACTTTCAAAAAGAAAGCTCCACAGTT